GGGAAAGAGACGCAAGAGACATGCATTGCTGAGTGAGACACCGAGGGACCAGCACTGCTGGGAAAGAGACTGTGAGAGACTGTCGGCTGAAGGACGGTGGGCCGGGAGAGAGACTGAGCGTTCTTCCTGAACTTGAATTGTAGTCTGGTGCTTCCCTAATAAACGTCATAATCTGTGAGCTCTGTATGGCCACTGCAGCGAATTATCGAACCCAGGAGAGAGGTGGTGGGTGCTTTGGGAGGAATGGTTGGTGAAAGGGCTGGAGGGAGGCAGCATGTCTGGCATGGCAGGAATAGGCGTTGGGTTACTGCTGGTAATCCTGTCTTCCTCTTGTGGGGTTAGAGGAGGTCAGAACATGTGGCCTCCTTGCCGTTTTTGCAGAGTATAAGCCGGTTCTCTTCCTTTCCTGGCATGAAACTTAGTGGAGCCATTGCCTCCTGGGCCTGTGCACTGGGACGTGTTGATGTTGTTAGGCTTGTGAAATGTTTCTGAGTGTTGGCAAACTCATCAAAGTTGGCTTTCCAGATTTTGGAATTGAAAAAACAATGATTTTTTTCTTTCCCAAGCAAGCCAGGTGTCACCAGGAAATGTTTTCTAAAGTGATTCTTTTGCTCCCTGTGCTGGACAAGTTAGCAAAGATAAATCCACATGTGTTATTTACCACTCATTCTCTGACTGTGCTGCATTCTCTGTAGACTATACCGCCTCTTCAGATGTCATATACATACAGGGGAGGTGTGTGTATTACACTTAATGACCACACTCAGAGGCTTTATAGTCCACGTTCATCCTGGTGTTTGTTCATGGCTGCATCTGCTTTGCCTGCATGAAGTGGGCTCTGTGTCAGTATTTCCTCCTTCAGTTGTCATACACGAAGGCAGCCAGTTAAGACTCAGAGAGGTCTTGTGTGAGACCCAGGGCTTTGCCAGGTGAAGGATCTCTGGGTGGTATGAATTGAGTAGGCTGTTTCCTTTGTCTCCTCTCCCCAGTGTCCAGCAGGGATCTCCATCATCCATGGTGTCAATGGAGAATAACAGCCATAATAACAACAATAAAGAAATGTGCAGAAATGTAGTTGTCAGGAACTTAGGCTACCGCCACACGGTGACTTGCCTGCTGACCCTGGCTTAGCAACGTTCCATGCCAGCAATACTGATCATGGGATTGATAGTCACATGACTCAGCTATGAACTGTGTAAATTACACCTGCTTCACAGAGTCATCAGATGTCAATGAGCTAGTGTGTGAAAACTATGCAAAACCTTCCACAGATCCTGGGTGCTCATTCCATGGACAGTTGATCCATATACATTGTGTAACTTCAGGGTTTTGATGACTTTAACCCTGGACTTTTGGACTTTTGCTCTGACTCAAAGTTTTTTGTGACTATCATAGCAGGAAGGATTAGGGATGCTGTCAACAGCCCCTTTCACCACTTCCTGACGATAGGAGTCTCTCATTCTAACGCTGCTCTGTGGGTGCACCAAGGGGTGTTCAGTGGCCTTTGCTCTCCTTACTCTCTGAGGAGGCCAGTGGATTGGAGCTGTGTCACAGCAGTCACTGTCACAGACCCAGGGATTCCACTGGTCAGCGTGCAGGGAGTCATGGTCGTGTGCCTTCCAGAGGTTGCAAATACAAGAGACTTTTGGAGTGGAGCCTCTGTAGGGTTGATGTCTGTTTCCTACACTTCATGGGCAATTTAACAGGTAAATTATATGCACTTTATTTACAAAATTAATTTTCTGCAGTAAAGCCTATATATAACGAAGCATTTGCCAATTCAACAATGTTAAGGTATATACTTTAACATTTACGTTTAATGATGTTGTGCCATCATTATAAAATGGGAATTGTAACCTCAGTCAGAAGACACAAGGGCGTACTGTTCTCACTTCTGCAGAGGTCATGCCGTTTGTCATCTCGTAACATTAGAGTGTGTGTGGGAGAGGGGGACAGACTTTGTCTGTGGGGGTATAGGATGGACTGTATATGCGTGTGTAGGAGGGTGTGGGTGGGTAAGTGTTGTAGATAGACATACAGAGCCGGAAGACTGCAGTTGGTCGCAGTCAAACCGTGGAGGGAGGATTTCAGTGTGTTGGAAGTCTTGGAGACAGAAGGCAGGCAGTGAGGAGGGCAAGTAGTTAGTGAAGAGATGAGGCTGATGGCCGCATCCTAGAGTGGACTTGGGTAGAACACAGAACACAGTGTCATAAGCTCTGAATTCTGAGTTCCACAGGACTGTTTCTCACTCTGTTCTTGTACATATTAGAGTCCATGGAACCTTGCTAATCTAGAACGTGTGGGATGTTTTAGGACTCGGTGGTCATTGATGATGTGGCTGTGGTCTTTAGCCAGGAAGAGTGGGCTTTGCTGGATCTTGCTCAGAGGAAACTCTACAGAGATGTCATGATGGAAACCTTCAGGAACCTGGAATCTGTAGGTAAGAATGGCATCATCCCCACCCCCTTTTGGTAAGCAGAAATACTTTACTCATCACCTTTGCTCCAGTATTTGGGATGAGGAATGGGAATAACTTGTTCAACGGGCAGACATGGTCCCTCGTGGTCTGAGGAATTCACATATCCTGTCTTCCCCACGAACATAAATCTCTTAGGTGTTACACTGGGCTTTCCCTTCCCCTGCCATTAGAACTTCTGAGGCTCTTTAATGGTGTAAGTGTAACCACTGGCTTCAGGATGACCTCTGGACACTGAGAGATTTGTGTTTGGGCCCCTTGTACAGAGTCCTACTGTGTTGAGTATAAGAGTGATGTGATTATTTTACTGTAAATAAATTTACCCTGCCATCTTCAGAGACCCTAAAGAACAAAGTGTTGGCTGAGTGTCAAGGCCATATTCCTTACTCTTCACTGTCTTCCCTCATGATAAGCATTTCCCTGTGGGCACCATGTCAGCTTTACCCTTTTCTGTGCCTGAGAAGGAAGGGAAAGATCTGAGGTCAGTGGAGACAGGACTCACTGATGGCTATTGTGTCAGGAAGCACCAGGAAAGCAAGAATGTTTTGAAGGACCGCCCCTGCATGGACAGACTTACACTGGAACCAGTCTGCTAGAAAACGTGTCTTTTGGTGACAGACGCAGCCTCACTCATACCTGAGCCTGCTTTCTGCCCTTGGCAATCTTCTCACATCTGTGGCATGGAGACCCTTTTAATATTCCATGTGTGTTTTCTCCTTTGTCTTTCCACTTAGGTCTCCTATGGAGTTTATTTCCTAGAAGTTGCCTTTTAAACAATGCCAGCATGTTGAGACAGCGAACTATGGCTAACTCACTCTTGCTTTGTTCACCACAGCCTTTTTTCCCTAATAGTTCCTTTCCTTTTTGTTTCATTTTATGAACCACAACTGAATTACTCGGTCAGTCTCTCGAAAGCTTAATGATGGAGAGAAGTTACCGGGTGGACAGATAATCGTGCGATTTTTGAAGAACAACAACACCTGGTCATCTGTATTAAGAGAAGCCTCCAGATCATATGGCAGTAAAGATCCACGTGAACACCAGGGGAAACATTTACAGTGAGTGTCACCAAAACCGGACATAACAGTGCCTTAGGAAAAGATGCTAAGGTGGTGTGACATTAAAATATTTATAGACATAATTATATGTATGTACAAGGTCTCCCAGCTGGTTCATAATGGGTTAGTAACTGCTGATGGTAATAAGGGCAACCTTCACATTTCATAGCAACCAAATAAGTTGCCAGTCAGATTTTGACCTGAACAGGAAACAGCACTGTTTCTCGCTCAAAGATGATGACCACCTGCACAGCTTTGAATGTGTGTCGCTCTGCACAGTGCTGCAAATAATGCAGGCTCTTACAGGCTCCTAAAACTTCCAGGATCCATGTGGAAGATTGAGTTACTGGCAGGACTGTGGAGAGGGACACACACTCAAAACATTGCCCCCTGCTGCCCATCTCTGAGCAGGGCACTGCTGTTTGCATCCTACTTAAGTCAAAATCCAGTGGACAGCAGATTGTTATGCAATACATAAACTGCCCTTGTTTATGCTGGCAATCGCTGAGCTATTAGGAAGCAGTTTGAAGACCTGATAAATTACTAACACATATATGTAAACATGTATACCTGAACATTTATATTATGTAAAGCTGGCTGTAAAAGTACATGGTCAGAGAATTTTCACAGTCCAACATTTTCATAAATGTGTGTGTGTATAGTATGTTTATATTACATAAGCCTAGCTAGAAAATTACATATTCAGAGAATTTTCAAGTACAGCAGTTTTTATAAATGTGCCTCAGATGTTGAGTGTTGGAAACAGACTTCACTTGGATACAATAATCCAAAAGCCTCATACTTTAGAAATATATTGACTGTCATGGTAGCATTTATGCAAGGTGCTTTAGACTATGAAACATGAGACAAATCAGGGCAAGAGCCATACATGTTCACTGTGTTTTGCATTGGTGACATGGAAACAAATTTATTTGCAACATCATGTTACCTATTTTTAACAGACCTCATACAGTGAAGAACCTCTGTGAAAGTCATGAAAGTGATCCTCATGGGAAGACCTCCAGCCAGATTCCAAATATTCCTGTGCTACCAACAAATCCTCCAAAAGAAAATTCTGTTGAAAGGTGCGAAGCGTCAATGGATCACTCGTCACATAAGCATCCCACCAGATCTCACATCAAAAGCAATACCTGTCAGTGTAAGGAATGTGGAAAGGCCTGCAGTTGTCACTCTCACCTAACCACTTCTGTGAGAACTCTTAATGGAAAGAAACCCCATATATGTAAGGTATGTGGGAAGGACGTCATTTGTAGCTCAAGACTTAAGAATCCTGTGACAGCACTCACTGGTGAGAAACGCTATGAATGTAACAAATGTGGGAAAGATTTCTGTGGTTTCTCTTCCTTTTGGTCACATGTAAGAGGTCCTAAGCGTGAATGTAAAGAATTTCGTAAGACCTACAGTCGTCCTTCATCTCTCAATGTACATAAAAAATTTCCTAACAGAGATAAGCCTTATAAGTGTCAGGAATGTGGAAAAGCCTTCAGCTACTCCTCAGCTCTCAGTATTCATCAAAGAACACACAGTGCAGAGAAACCTTACGAATGTCAGGAATGTGGGAAAACCTTCAGTTACTCCTCATCCCTCACTACACATATGCGAACTCACAGTGGAGAGAGGCCTTATGAATGTAAGGAATGTGGGAAAACCTTTAGTTGTTCCTCATCTCTCAACACACACAGAAGAACTCACAGTGGAGAGAGGCCATATGAATGTAAGGAATGTGGGAAAACCTTTAGCCAGTCATCACACCTCACTACACATATAAAAACTCATAATGGGCTGAGGCCATATGAATGTAAGGAGTGTGGGAAAGCATTTAGTTGTTCCTCATCCCTCACTCAACATGTAAGAACTCACAGTGGAGAGATGCCTTATAAATGTAAGGAATGTGGGAAAGCATTCAGGTGTTCCTCACACCTCACTCAGCATGTAAGAACTCACAGTGGAGAGAGGCCTTATGAATGTGGGGAGTGTGGGAAAGTCTTTCGTTATTCTTCAGCCCTCACTAAGCATAAAAGAACTCACAGTGGAGAGAAACCTTATGAATGTAGGGAATGTGGGAAAGCTTTTAGTTGTTCCTCATACCTCACACTTCATAGAAGAATTCACAGTGGAGAGAGACCGTATGAATGTAAAGAATGTGGGAAAGTCTTTGGGCAAGCCTCAAACCTCACCACACATAGAAGGATTCACAGTGGAGCCAGGCCTTATGAATGTAAGCAGTGTGGGAAAGCCTTTAGTCAGTCATCACACCTCACTATACATACAAAAACTCACAATGGGCAGAGACCTTATGAATGTAAAGAATGTGGGAAAGCCTTCAGTTGTTGCTCATCCCTCACTGTACATACAAGAACTCACAGTGGATTGAGACCTTATAAATGTAAGGAATGTGGGAAAGCCTTTAGGTGTTCCTCACACCTCAGTACACACAGACGAACTCACAGTGGAGAGAGGCCTTATGAATGTAAGCAATGTGGGAAAGCATTTAGGTGTTCGTCACACCTTGCTAAACATAGAAGGCTTCACAGTGGAGACGACTTATGAATGTACAGAATGTGGGAAAGCCTTCAGGGGTTCTTAACACCTCTACCCATAGAAGGACTCATGGTGGAGAAGCCTTATGAATGGGAGGAACATAGGAAAACCTTCAGGGGTTCCTCATACCTCACTTCCCATAGTACTCAGAGTGGAGACACTGTCTCAGGTGGGACAGTCCATCCTCACTGCTATAATTTCCAAATAGCAAATTTCCAAAAGTTTGTCATTAAAGAACAAAGTTTCTCAGTGAGTGAGAATGTGATACTAACTTAAACAACGGGTCATTGGAGCGCCATTGTGTCTTGGGGAGAATGACAGTTTTCATTGTACTGCAGGCTCATCCTCTTGAGTGTTATTTTCTCAATCCAACCTAAATTTTACTCAAGTTTTTGGCTATTACACATAAAGCTGCAGGGAATAACCTGGAGCAAATGTGCTTTTCTATTAATATTTTTAATGATGATATTTTGTATACAATTAAATACACTTGTATTTGGTTTTAGAGTATTTTATGTTTTCATTTAATGCATTTGCTTCCATTTGCCCCTGTTGTGAACTTAAGTGTTTGACCCTTTCTAATCATAAGTTTCTCTTAGTCAATACTTTGAGACTCTGCACTTACTCTCCTTTCCTTTATACTTGGGCCTCCTCATTCTACTATCCATTGATCCTTTTTTATACCAGTCATTTCTTCTGTGTATCCACTGGATAAGAAAAAGTTTTCCTTGTACCCCTTCATTTATGTATTTGCTTAAAACAGTGCAGGCAGTTCCCTTAACATGCCTGTCTGTCTTCAGGTCAAATTTATACCTAAGTGCTAACAGTTAGGTACAGTTCATATGTAACGTTGATTAATGTAGTGGTTGTCTTAGTATATAGGGTATCTTTCCATGCACAAAAACATTATAGAAACACTTCCATATACATTAAAACATCTTTAACACAATAATATAGTAGTCGTGATGTTTTGATACAAGTTATAAAATAGCACCTGTTCGTTATAACGAACATTTTGCACTTCACTGGGTTACCTCTTGGTAGGCCCTCTGCCCTTGACTTGGGGAGGCCAGGAGGTTTTCCTTGTGTGCATTGAGCATGCAAAGCCCCACCATGGCGTGGGGTGCTGGGGTGGGGGGAAAGAGAATCAGAGCATAGACCCCGCTTCTGTGCCCCTCCACTTGTGACACTGTAGGGTGCGCCATCATCTGCTCAGCTCAGAACACAGACATATCCCCATCATAACTTGGTATGTTACTTTCTGCATGTGTCCGAGGTTCATTGCTGGGTCCTTTTTCCGCCCAAGCCATAGAAACACTTTTCTCCAAGAAACCCAGGCTCTTTTTATTACAAAATCATTTTTATTACAAAATAAGATTTTGGACCCTCAAGTGGAAAGAGACAGGAGATAGGTGTGTGATTATGAATCCACAAAGACTCATATATATACCTATTTCTGTCCATGTCTATATATATTTTATAAACCACATGATCATATCCATCTCTTTGATGCCAATCCAACACCACAGTGTTCACGGAAGCCTTTTCCCTCGTTCTATGTGTTACTTCGTTCTCCAATAGTAATACTCCTGGCTCTCATTATCCACAATTCATTACTGGCTGAATCTCAGAATAAACATGTAATTGCTGAAGCATCGCTCACTGGGAGGTGGTGAACCACCTTGCAGAAAGCAGTCTGGCTTCTGTTTGAGGGTCCTGAGAGTCAGCCTCCAGCTGAGGCTAATTAGTGAGGACAGGTAAGACCAGAGGGACACCTGGTGGCTGACATTGACCTCTTGAGGCATTACTAAGTTTCATGCACGACTGGCCAATCAAAGGCAGAAGTTAGAGGATGAAGGGAGTTTCCTGGTTGGTGAGAAGCATCCATGCATGTGGAGGGAAACCAGTTCCAGGGACATGAGAACTCTGCACTGCACCTTCCCAGGCCTCACCCCATGTACCTCTTCATTTGTATCCTGTCTTATATTTAAGCTGTTCTCATCAGGATGGCCTTCTGAATTTTGTGAGTCATTCCAGTGAATTACTGAATTGAAAGAAGGTTCAGAAGTCAGGGGCTGGAGACAACTTGATCTTGAGAGGTTGACACTTGACTTGGGAGGTTGGTATTCTAAGGGGCTACAGAAAACCCCCAGGCTTTTAAACAGCAGATCAGAAGCTGAGAATCATTCTAACGTCTGCCTGTTTGGCAGTTAGAAAGCCACTATCCTTTGAACATGTGAGTCTGGCCCAGCTCCCCTGGTGGCTGGAGTCAGAGGGAGAATCCCTCTGAAGGGGTAGTGGATTTAAAAGGTACACAGGACAAGGACCTGTGACTTCCACATGACACGCATATGAAGTGCCTCATTAGGCAGGAAATTAGGACAGGAAGGCTGCCCTGGGGGCAGGCCCAAAGGGAGGAGCAAAGGGAGAGAGGCGGAATACTTAAGGTTTAATAACTGCAACTGCCCACAACCACCTGTGAGGCCTGGCCAATTAAAATTAAGCAGAAAGACCACAGACCCAAGACCTTGAGGTTTTGGGGAATTCCCTAATGTGGGGCATGTGCAAAAGCCTCATGCCCCTGACCCAAAGTAACTTTATGTGATCATATCATTATAACCTAATTAGCACTGTGGTTTCAAAGTGGTGTCATGTCGAACATACTGAAATATGGGAAGGAAAATGTCCAGAAGGGATAGGCACATGATAATGAGGGTCCTGTCACGCAAAGAGCTCTGCCCCACCTTAAGGATGCTCCTTCTAGGAAGTATAAAGCAAGTAAGTTAAACAGCTTGAGGTACTCCCACTAACAGGGAAGACCCGTTTCTCCTCCGGAAATGTTCTTTGCTTAATAAAGCCTTGTGTGACTTGATGCTTTGTTAACTAAATTTGTCAACCACTGCCAAACACCGCCCGCCCAGCATCGCTTGCCTACAGATTGCTCGCTCACCGAGATTCTTCCTGCAAGATGGGCAAGACCAGGGAGAGGGCCTCTCACCCCATATAACATTTTAGTGCTGAAATCTAGGAGAAAAGAAAACAAGCAGCCCAAGCAAAAGCAAGCAGGACACAAGGGAGGAGTCATCTTGAAGGTACAAAACGTGAGCCTGTGTGTTGGTTTCCCGCAAAACACAGAGAAACAGGAGTATAGATGTTTGGCTTCAGCTGCTTTGGAACATAGGTGTGATAATTGGGGTTGTGTGTCAACTTGGCTGGACCACGATTCTGGTCTAGTAAGTTGTGATGTGGTTAGTCACATGATGAGATCGAACGTATGTATTTTGAGCAGCCAATCTGTTGAAAGGGAGTTTCCCCAGAGGTGTGTCCTGCTTCATATATATATATATATA